TACCCAAAAATCCCTAAGTGGTAAACACCACCTTGGCCTGTTGGCCATTATTGAAGGCAATAAGTGCCCTTTTTAGCCATCCATTATGATCCATATACTGTTATTGTTAGTAGGCTAATTGCAACATAAAAAATAACGCTTCAGAAAGACAAAAAAACTGAAAAAATAAAAAAAATCAAATAAATAAAAAAAATCATGAAAAAAATAAAAAACACCATTGATTTTTTATTTTTTTGATTTTTTTTAATCAAAAAAATCGCCAACCCTGGCACCTTGATAATTTAAGAATCGTTTTACTCTCATTCAAACAACCTTTAATTTTTCGGGCAGTGAAAGATAGATTTAAATCTTCGTACGATTTAAAGTAGATGAAAATAAACGCTTCATAAACAAAAAACTAAGATTAGTTTTTCGATAATTTTGAGTAGTTAAAGCTTTTCGGGTTATAGCCTCATTACTACTTACTCTGTGCTTTGCTTGGGGTGACGCGTCATGCAGTTTTAACGAGTACAATTGAGGTGAAACTAATATCGCCCGTGCTGCTTCACTTCACCCCTGTTTTGAGAATCTTCAGCAGTTCGACTCTTGACTCCATGAGCGTAACTCCCATGGTGCTACTTTGACTTCACGTCAGTTCACATTTCCTTGTGGGATCTTCATTGATACGCCACCGAGATTTACAGCCTCGAACCTGTTCTAGCATTCATAGAGTAGAAGCTTATCTTTGGAAGCCTCGCCCGAGTACGGTTGGGATTTGGATGCGAGCATTGGGCACGTGCTGGATTTGGTGTTGTCAGCACTACGATGACCTCCTCCGGCACATCTGGTTACCACGTTGGCTACGACTACGTTTTTTGGCCCCGGCAACATCTGCGCGGGTGTGTACCAGCCGCTGGACCAGCTACGCACCGACGTTCACCGAGGGATTTTTTAGTACTTCAGGTACGTCACCCCACCTTCGTAGGCACGGAGTGGGTGGTAATGAGGTGCTAAATCCTGTTCCCTTTCACTTATGACCCGAACAAAGAATAAGCCCGTAATTATCAATTTTGCAACTTTTCCTTAAAACATTTGGTTAATTATTGACTTTATAGCAATAAAAACCTTACAACATATACGAACGTGTGGTAAACCCTTTTAATGACTCGGATTATCTTTTTGCTACGATGCGCAGCCCTCTTTCACCTTGCCTTAAAAAGGACCCTTTTCGCATTGAGCTCTTTTACCGTCCGAGCATTTTTTTCATGATCACTGTAATCACCGTTTCGTTTTTGATTGTCCAGGATTTACGGGTTGGGCAGACGCGGAAGCAAGGCGCAACTCCATTGCCTCTTCACACCCAGTGAAGTGGAGTCGCTACCGCAAATTTTGGAGGCAGTACCGAACAAGTTTAGGGATGATGGCATTAATGCCATTTAGTTATTTTCATTAAAGAAAATACTATTTGAACCTTGCTTGTAATCGTGTTTTGTTTGACCTCAATTCCTATTGATTAGTTTCCTTGCTTCCCAAAGTTTTGTCCACTTCAACATAATATCGTAATTCGTACGAAATCATATCGTAATTCGACGAAATATCGTAATAATATCGTAATTCGACGAAATCGTGTTTTTGATGACATTTTGCCTTAAAATAATGACTTAATTGCAAGGCCCTCCGCGTGGCTGATCGAGTTCTCCCACAAGTTCCTCTAATTTGATTTGAGTTCCTCTAAGTTTAGAAATCGCACTTTAGTCTCTATGCCACCCACCAGAGCTGTCGTCCCTAATTCACGCCTTGTCCCGTGTAAATGGACAATCAAAACCAGCGGCCCAGGTCCCCAGCAGCATGACGAAGGAAGTTTTCGCCGCGAACACACATCATCCCGGCGCGCGAAGAGGATGCGCCAACGGCTAGTCGCCGTAGTCGGTAACCACATGTGAGACGGAAGACTACGATGGCGCGTCGACTGGCTAAGGAAGCGGTACTATTTTAATTAAGACTGATGAAGCCTGAATGAACGAACGAACGACAGCTCGCTAGGGCAGAATGAACATTCTGCCATAGAATGGCAGAATGAACGACGACAGCTCCTGTAGTGTTCAGGAGCCGTGTGAAACTCTCCGTTTCTCCAGATTAAACTGATGGCTTAAAAATGAATGAAACAAGACGTGGCATAAGAAAGGTGCAGTGTGTATGAATTAAGGAATTTTGTTAAAGTTGCATTTAAGTTAAATTAAAGCCGTGAGACCGATTGCATAAATTATGCACATACTTGGGCGGGGGCTGGGCTTCGTTCGCTATACTTAACAATAAGTCTGTCAGTTCTGCTGAATTATATTTAATAAATCAATAGAGCACGTTTCGATTGCAAATCTTATGACGAACCTGTTAGTTACGCTGGTCCGCATGACTTGATTGAGCGGCTCGAGTATCATATCACAAGTTTTCGCTAATTGTCTATAATCCGCTCACCTTAAGTTCCGAGTTAAATGGTGAATTGATTCCAATAGCCGTTCCCCATGAGAATTTTCGACATCGAACTATGTTCGAACGATCATATTTGTGCACCAAAAAGTTAAAAACGCGCTTTTAGCCTGATTTATCTCCATCTAAATTGAGTCTAGGAAACATGAATGGGCGTTAACGATATACTCGTACAACGGTGGAAACGCGTCTGTATGAGGATTTGTGCCGAAATGTATGTATTATAGATTACATTTTATTCCCATGATGAACTTGAATGGTTTTTGGAATTAACGAAACCCCATTTTTTAAGTAATTAATTATAAAAACATCATGTAGAGGCCCCGGACGTTTGGTGTCTCTGAGAAGTGATTTACAATGGCCTGTGAGGTCACCTGATTTGAGCATTTGTGATTTCTTTTTTTGGGGGACATCTAACAGAAAGGGTGTTCAGAATTCGCCCTCACACCCTACTACAGCTAAGGGAACAGATTATTGCTGCAGAGGTTATGGCCATACCTCGCCATATGTGTGAAAGTGCTGTGGGAAACTTCCGAGAACAACTCCAACAGTGTGTTGCAGCTAACGGCCACCATCTTCCTGATATTATTTTCAAAATATAAGTATTCTAAATGGTATGTTATGCTAACCTCGAAGTAAAATAAACTTTTTTCTTTATGTACTTCCATTACTCTTTTATTTCGCCTCAAAACTACCCAATCGGTTCAGCCCCATCCTGTACTTCATGGTTACATGAATTCTATACGCGCACATGTATGCCACTAAATCATAGATTTTCGTGCAGGCAAATCCGGAAAATATTATCCTAGTCATTATGTTACACAGTGTTGGGGACAGGTGGTCCCTAACAACAGTACAATTGTTCTCAATATTATGAAACTCAAGTTCCACGTCAGTTAAATTTCTTTTTCTTGTGCAAATTTAAGTTATCACTAATCAACTATATTTCAATCAACTTCACGGTAATGTTTCAAATATTTCAATTTAATCATTCAGCTTACAAGGTAACCAATCTTCAATCATCTACACTATTTTTTTTTACAACCAAATTAAATAATCCCTGAGTTAGCAGAGAGTAGGTGAGTTAGCAGCAGACAAAAGACGTTACCAAAAAGTGTCGAGTTGCCAAAATAAAAACAACTAGGAAACTCGCAACAGATAAATTCGAAATTATCAAGTAGATTACGATCAGTAATTTAGTGGCCTAATTAATTTTACATGCTCTTCTTTCCAATCAAATAAAGCTTGAAACCCTAGGTGGAACGGAAAGTAGGAATAATTAAAAGGGACTTATATGAATATACGATTACGAATAATATGAAGATACGAATAATGTGGATATGCGAAATAAATAAATATACTATATCATTTTAATATTTTTAACACAAGTTCAGGTAGCGTTAATGTGCTTCCCCACACAACGCAAAATTAACAATCGCTCGGGTAAGTTATCAAAAAATGTAATTTACATAAGTTTCATGAAAAGACAGATCTCTCGAAGAACAACTCATCTGTATCATCTTTCCATCGCGTCTGACAGACAACTGAGGCATTACTCTATATTTGTCAGAAGCCGGAGAGACGGGGTAAGCGTGTAGGTAGAGTCAAGCTGGTGTATCACATGCAGCCGCGAAGAGCGGACGGCTGGAGCATTGGCTGTGTCCCCAACAGCTTCTTGACGGCGCAAGGAGTTCCTTACCGAAAATCTAGAAGGGGCTAGGCGGCATGGTGTAGAACTTTTGGGCAGTTTTAAACACGACTCAGGACTGTTGTATTGGTGGCTTGCTCCTCATTAGTACGGTGTTACACTTCAGTGAAAGAAATATTTATCTCTATATGGCTTTCAACACATAATTCCTTAGGCTACTTGGTCCTGTAGCAGGCTTGCACACGGGATTACACAACACTTTTCAGGAGTATGAAAGTGTTGCTGGTGTTGGGCAATGTTGGCCTCTGTTTAGCATGCATCCCGAAATTCCAATGGTTATTCAAGAGAGCCGCACATCCAGCGGCTGCGTTGCATATTCATGCGCTGAGGTGAACATCTTGAGGTGCATGGATTGGATGACATCACGACACGCATCTTGGATCTTCTCTACCTCAGAAAAGTTGTTCCTCAGTCTCCATTGAAAAGGTAATTTTTTTGACATTTTCTTAGTGGATAATAACTCGTGAATGTCAGCCTCCGCCTTCAATGCGTGGGTGTGTTTCCTCATGAACGTTGCCACGCGGGGGGTGAAAGGCTCATCTAGAAACTCAAATATTTTCTTCATTATTTCCAAGGGTGCCATGGCCAAGTCCTCATACCGCATCCTCCTGTAACTGTCAGCAACTTTTAAAACCACTCGCAATTTTGTTAGGATCAAAGAAGTTTGTTTAAAAGTAAAGCTGAAAATGAAAATAAATGTTATTTATTCAAATTGTGAACACAAAGCAAGCAAACGTATGTGTGTGATTTTGCTATGTTAGAATGTGTTTGAAATAATTGATTACTAGTTAATGGATAATGCTCTACCTATTCAGAAGAGGAATAACATTTTTTAATATTGAATTCAAAGTCATTTCAAATCCTACAAAATTTTAAGTATGTATTTAACTTCCCGTTCGAAGAGATCTATTAAAAAATTCTACTGATAAATATACTTCGAATATTTGAACTTAGCTGCAACAAGAACAAGACCATAAGTATACAATTCCAAATTAAATTCAAAACAGTCCCGACTCAACCTCGAGGTGTTTGCAAATAATCCGCTTCGTGAACCGGAATTGCAATATTATAACGGAAGATGTTCAGCGCTCAGCGCTGTTAAACATCCGTCCTCATGTGATAGGTTTTTAACAATGAAGCAGAAATCGTGGTCCAGATCGTCAATGAACGTCATCGAAAAATCGAATTTGCAATGAACGACCATTTCAAGCGATTGATATTCTGTTATGTTCGTCACTGGTTTTTGGTGAAATTTGTATCTGATCCTTGAGCTGACAGGTTCGAATAGGACGAAGGAGTGAGGAATTTTGGAAATTAAATCAGTTGTGAAAGAAGATCCTGATCTTGGCTGGGTCCAAACGATGATGATCTTTTGAGAGCGATGGATGTGAGCGATCGCTCGAGGATAAGTGGTATTCACTTCTTCATGGCGAGGGCTATGGATGACCAGAAAACATATACGAAAAAAATTCTTACGTATTGAAATTGTTCAGGAAATTTTCTGATACGTTCTTTAATTTTGGTAACTTTGCACCCTTGTATATCAAATCATGCATTAATTTCGAATTCATAAAAATTTTGACCGTCTGAAACGAGGCATTCCATCCTGACTTATCTAATCATCATGAACAGATAATTTTTACCTGACTTTGAGAAACCTAGTTACCTTGAATATAACAGTAGAAGATTATGCCACAAAAAAATGTAAACAAGAACTCACAATTTCTCATTTGTCTTCGGCAACGTTCGGATTATGCCCATTTCTAGCCATCGCTTCGTTGGCGCATGGCAATAGACGACCAAAATGAGCAGCAGCGCAGCCATCGACAATGCATGTAAATGTGTAGGGGAGGGCGCCATCGTAGGGCTGCTCAAAAACATTTGGGCCAAAATTAAACGTACTTAGTTTGATAATATTTTTACATGAGAAAAGATGAACATTGACAAGAAATTTTCACAGCGCTATCCTCAAACAATAAATAACGTTAGCAAATTTATAAGTTCGCTAAACTCGGAAATCGAAGAGAAACAACTTGTTCGTGATCTATAAGAGTGTTGATGAATACTCAGGTCAATTTTGGTGATCACGTAACGGCAATAACCGCAAGAGGTAGGCGACAGATGGGGTTGATCTGGCGGACGTTCAGAACAAGAGAAGCGAAACCGATTATCACACTCTTTAGAGCCCTTGTAAAACCAA